GACCCTCTGACAGATGTTACTGCAGCTGTTCCATGTTCTGGGCTAATTCCCACAACCCCTCTGAGCTGATTGCTGTCCCTGTCCCTGCAGGTCACAGAGGAGAGGGGCTCTATCTTCCTGAAGCAACGAGCACTGGCTGCTGGTGAGTTTGCCACCCTTTTCCCTGTGGTGTTGCAATCCCAGCACACCTCTGCCCTCAGCACCCCAATCCCTGCCCAGACAAGCCAGGCAGGGCACACTGAGGGAGATAACAGTGGGCACAGTGAAATGGAAACTTTTCTAACCCCAGGCTGGGAAAGCTGTGCAGGCACAGCTTCCCCCAGAGCTCTGCAGTGTTGGGGTGTTGTGAGGGTCCCCAGGAGGAGGTGAGAGATGAGAATCTGACTCCAACTTCTCAGAAGGCTGATTATTATATTATATTATGACATTACATTACATTATATTACATTATATCATATTATATTACATCATATCATATCATGTCATATCATTATATCATATTATATTATATGAAAATGCTTTACTAAACTATACTAAAGAAATAGAAAAGAGTCATCAGAAGGCAAAACAAGAATGAGTAATAAAAAACCTGTGACTGACCAGAGTCCTAACACAGCTGGACTGGGATTGGTCATTAAGTAAAAACAATTCACGTGCTGGGTAAACAATTCTCCAAATCACATTCCAAAGCAGCAAAACAGGGAGAAGCTGAAGCTTCCCAGCTTCCCAGGAGAAGAAATCCTGGCGAAGGAATTTTTCATTAAATATCACGGTGACACTGCAGGGTCAGTGGGACTCCCTGAACAAGCACCAGCAGAGATTTGGGAGCCTCTGCTCCTCACCCTTCACCTCTGTTTGCCTCCAGCAGTTCAGGACACAGCCACAATGTGCCCTGCTGGTGCTGCAGCAGCTCTGCCAAACTCTCCTGTTTGCATTTATCACCTCAGGGGGGTCAGTAAGAGTTCAGCAAATCGTCCCTGACTCAGAAAGAGCCTGCACATTTCCTCAGGGGAGTCAATTACTGTGACCGTGTTCACAGGGTTCTTGGACTGGGGAAGAGATGAGGATCTGACTCCATGTTTCAGAAGGCTGATTTATTGTTTTATGATATATATTACATTAAAACTATACTAAAAGAATAGAAGAAAAGGTTTCATCAGAAGATTAGCTAAGAATAGAATAGCAAAGAATGATAACAAAGGTTTCTGCTTTGGACTGTCTGTCCAAGCCAGCTGACTGTGATTGGCCATTAATTAGAAACAACCACATGAGACCAATCCCAGATGTACCTGTTGCATTCCACAGCATCAGATAACCATTGTTTTCCTCCTGAGGCCTCCCAGCTTCTCAGGAGGAAAAATTCTAAGGAAAGGGTTTTTAATAAAAGATGTCTGCGACAAATCACCACTCATATTTTGCTGACTTAGGAAAGGTTCTGCCCCCAGAGGGTGCTGGCACTGCCCAGGCTGCCCAGGGAATGGGCACGGCCCCAAGGCTGCCAGAGCTCCAGGAGCCTTTGGGCAGCGCTGCCAGGGGTGCCCAGGCTGGGATTCTGAGGTGTCTGTGCAGAGACAGGGGTGGGATTGATGATCCTGTGGGTCCCTCCAGCTCAGGATATTCTGTAATTTTATTATTGAACAGCAGCAAACATCCTCACACCATTTTTCTCCCTTTTCCCTCAGTTACAGACACACTTTCCAGTGCAGAGAAGCCACGAGCTCACCTGACAGGTAATTCTTGTTCACCACTAAAGCCTTTTTACAGCCAATGTTGTGGTTCAGTAACCTTGCTCCCTGTGGGTCTGGTGGGAGCAGGTGTTGCAGGAAGCATGAGGAGCAGAATAAGCAGCTTTACCTTGTTGAGCAGGCCAGGCTCCAGTAAAGGGCCCATGAAGGAACAGCTGACAGAAATGTCACTTTTCTGAGCGGTTTCTTTCACTGAACGACCATGGAATGTAACTGAACTGAAACAGGTACTTAATGTCCCAGTGATCTGCTGAATCCCCCAGAAAAGGCAGGGAAGGAGCTCATGTGAGTCCTCATGGAGCAGTGAATTGGGAAGAATTACAAGTTTTGGAGCAAAATCTGGCCAAATCAGGCTGGTTTTAGTTTATTTTTCTGCAAAGCCTGACTCAGACTCCACACACACCATATTCCCATTAATCCTCTCCCCTATTTTCAGTGAGATAATCTCTGACACATTTCAGAGCAAGCAGGGAAAGGTAATGCCAAACTGAGCCCTCTGAGGTTTTATGTCGTGGTAGGAAGGTGCCATCACAAAGTCCTGTCACAGAGTGGGCTGCCAGGTGTTTCCAAAGAGTTGTCATCCCTTTCCAAGAGGTTTCCAGTCCTTTCCAAAGAGTTATCGTGCCTTTCAAGGAGTTTTCCATGTCTTTCCAAGGGTCTTCCGTGTCTTTCCAAGGGTCTTCCATGCCTTTCTAAAGAGCAATCTTGCCTTTCCAAGAGGTTTCCATGCCTTTCCAAAGAGTTATCATCCATTTCCAAAGAGTTATCATGCTTTTCCAAGAGTTTTCCATGCCTTTCCAGGAGGCTTCCATGCCCTTCCAAAGAGTTATCATCCCTTTCCAAGAGGTTTCCATGCCTTTCCAAGAGGCTTCAGTGCCTTTCCAAGAGGCTTCCATACTCTTCCAAAGGTCTTCCATGCCTTTCCAAGGGTCTTCCATGCCTTTCTAAGAAGTTTCCATGCTTTTCCAAAGGGTTATCTTGCCCTTCCAAAGGTCTCCCATGCCTTTCCAAGGGGCTGCCAGCATCTCCAAGGTCCCCATGTCACCACCTCAGCCTTGAGACCATCACCACCCCAAGGACCTTGCCCTGAGATATCCCCCACCCTCACCACCTCCACCCACATGCAAAATTTAGGTGTTCCCAGAGAAAAGTTCCTGCCTGGCTCCAGTGTGGATGGAGTGAGTGCCAAAGGGTTTTCCAGCTGGCCTGAGGCCTTTTATCCCTCTGCAAAGCACAGCTCACTGCAGAGGCTTCCCCAGCACCCCAGGGTGCACTTTGTAACCTGAGGATGCAGGAAATGCTGGGATGTTTCTCTCGTATTTCCTGCAGAGATCCAAATCCACCCCCAGGGCTCCATCACTCTGCAGCTCAGGGCTGATGCATTCCCAGCACAGTTTCCTTTCCTTGATTCAGCAGCTCCTTCCTTGGTGCCTTTCCCTTTGCCACGGGGGTTTCTGGAGTTCCAAACCTGGCTTGGCCATAATCACAACTTTGCTCAATGCCAGTTTTAAGGAGCAAAACCTTGCCTCTGTGAGGTTTTGGTTTTTTAAATCCCCCCTGGCAGAGAGGCCCAGAGGCTCCAGTGACTCAGAGGAGCAGCCCAAGCTCTGCTCTGCTACTGGGAACTTCCCTGCGTTGCACAAAAGCCCAGCTGCCACAGGGAAACACCCAGCAGTTTTCTTCACATTTCTCCAGCCCTCATATTTACAAAAAAATTCCTTTGCTATCATTCCTAGGCAGCCTTCCAGGGTCTGTGTCCATCCTCTCTGGCATTCCACTGAAGGCCAGTCACTGCTGGCCATAGAAAGGAGCAAGAAAAGGGGAAACTTGAGGGAATTTTCTCTCTCCTTTCTGTGCTGTGCTTTGTAGTCATCAAGAAACCCAGTATCTATGGATTTTCTTTGACCTTTTTTTAACCTGAACATATTCCTGGTGCTTCTCACTGTGGCAATGATTTTACCAGCTTAACAGCACTTTGCAGGCAGAAAATATTTCCTGTTGTTTTCAACTCTGTGCATAATAATTTCTTGGGCTCCACCCTGGTGTTCTCTTCTCAGAAACAATTACTTGAACACAGAAAGTGTAAAAGGAATAATTATTCCCTGGTCTTTGTTACATTCCCCCACCTCAGGTGTCTTTTTCAATGTGAAGGTGGCAGACTACAAATCCTAAACTACAGGAAATCTCTTCCACACCTTTATTCTGACTTTTTCTAGTTTTAGGCACATCTGTTTTGAAGGTGAGAGCAGAGGAGTGAGAGGAATGAGAATTGGATGGAGCTCTTTGGGAATGCACTGATTAATTGGCAGTAGCAGAGCAGCTCCATGTTTTGGTGTCTGTTCCTTTATGATAAATCTTCCAGCTGCTCTTGGCCTTTTTAACTCACACTGAGAATTTTTATTCACCCAGGCTGGAATAGAGATCTCCCCTCCCTGATGGCTTTCCCTACTGAGATGTGCCAAAACCCAGCTCAGAGTCCCCCTCCTGTGCATTAACGTTCATTTGGGGCTTCTCCTTGCCTTGTCATCATCCCCTCCCCACTGACGTGGTTGGGTTTGGGGTCAGGATTCAGGGCAGAGCCTGTTCCTTCTTGTCACCAGCCTGTGGCACAGGGGATGGCCCATTCTGCAGGACCTCACGCTCCTGATGCTGCAGTGGTCCCAAACCTGGCACCTGGATCATGCTCTTCCTCATTTTAGTCCCAAACCTGGCACCTGCCTCATCCTCCAGCTCATTTGGTCCCAAACCTGGCACCTGCCTCATGCTGCTCCTCATTTTTTCTCAAACCTGGCCCTCGCTCATCCTCCAGCTCATTTGGTCCCAAAACCTGGCACTTGGCTCATGCTCTTCCTCATTTGGTCCCAAACCTGGCGCCTGCCTCATGCCCTCCTTGTGTGGTCCCAAAGCCACCTCTAAATGTGGCCAGAGCTTCATTTCTGCCTCCAAATCACCTTTATTAAACCCTCAGGGCATGAACTGGAGCAGCAGAGGACACAGGACCTTGCACCACAAGGGCTTCACAGGCTTCAGACTCTTGCTCACTCAGAGTTCAGGATTAATCTCTCCCATTGCTGCTGAGAACTGCAGAAACCCCACAAATTCAGTACAAAACAGATCCCAAATCTGACAGGCAACAGGGATTCTCCAGCAAGGGACTGAGCCAAAAGGGATTTGGGGACAGGAGAATTAAGGGATGCCAGAAATTTATAGTGTGTGAGAAAACAGAAGGAACTGTGGCAATGAAGCTCTTATTAAAAGCAGATTTTAATTTCTTTAAGAATTAGCATCATAGGTATATTTGCAGGAAGTGGAGCTCCAGAATTTAGGAAATAAATAAATAAATGACAAGTACAAAGTACAGCTGCTGCTAGAAAAGGAGCTGTGCTGTATTAAAAAGCACTTGAACATTCATTTTATTCTCCTGTTACTGAAAGCATGGGAAAAACTAATTAACTTGAAAATAGAGAGCATCAATAGAGGCAGATTCATCCTAAAAGGGAGGTTAAAGCTGTGAAACCTGACTAATTCTGGAAGTCAGGAAGTCCTGTAGTTCATTTGAGATCTTATCATATTCTATAACTAATAAAATCTATTTTATAACTAATATAAAAATTCATTGTGGAATTGAGTGTCATTGACATTTTAAATCCATCATTCTACAAGAAAAGAATATTTCACAGGCAGCTTCTCTTCAAATTCCCCCAAAATTCCAGAGATGGAATAGAGCCCAGGACATTTTCTGGAAGTATTCTGGTCTTTCCTCATCTTTCCCACCTCAAACAAGATTTCCTCTGTGCCCTGAGATTAATTGCTCTGAGCTCTTGCAAAGCTTGGAGTGACCCAAAGCTAGCTGAGCTTTTCCCAGGATTCAGAAAGTCCCTGAATTGAGGGATGATGCATTGAGGTGGATGCAGATGAAGGCAGACCAGGAGCACTTTCACTTTCTTTTATTCTTTTATTCCCCATTCCATTGTCTCTAACCTTTATAATAATTCTATAATTTAGCTTTCCTTGCTGCCACAATCCCTGTCTGTCTTCCCCATCCCTGAAATACTTTCCCCATCCTTTGCTTCCTGGGAAAAGATCAGAAGGATTTGATAGTTCAGCACTTAAAAAAAAAAAAAAAAGCTGTTATTCTATTGTGCTACCCAGAGAATATAAAAGGAATTGCACTCCTAACAGTTTCCTGTATCCTCATGGATTATTTACTGTTGGAAAAGAGGGAAACAGATGCCACTAGGACATGAGCACATTCCTTTTTCTGAGTCTCATTTCAGGATGGACCTATTGGTTATTGCCAAGGGAATTCCAAAGCCTTCCCTCACCTGCATTCCATTACCCTCCTTCCCATGCACACACCCCTTTCCCCAAATACTGAATAAAAATCAGCTTTAAACATTAACAAGCTCATTAAAAAGGTCTCAGGTCCTGGAACTCTGTTCCCCCAGTCTTTTCTAAGCATCCATCATTCATTTTCCAGGTTCATTTCAATACCTGAGATAATCTTCATGGTTTTTATCCTCTTCTTCCCACTGCTGCTGCTTTAGCACAACAATTCCATGTGGCAGGCAGTAAAGAGCAGAGACAACTCTTGGTTCCCTGCAGAAAACCATGCAAGAGCTGAGGTTAATTGTCCTCTCTGTTGTGTGTGAGAAATCAAAGTTGGGAAGGCAAAAGGGCAGCAATTCCCTCATTTTTCCCCTCCAGGCTGGGAAGCATCCTCAGCTTGCATCAGACTGATGCTGGGGTCAGGACTGGAGCTCAATCTGCTCACCACAAGATTGGGAACAAAAAAAAAGCCTAGAGGAATGTTGAGGGTGACTCCAAATGTAGTATTTTGTTCCAGACAAGCATTAAAGAAAGAAAAAAAGGGAAGAGAGGGATAAAAATGGTTTAAAATAGAATCTCTTGCTTTGAAATTGGAGCTCTTGAAGCACAGTGGGGTCTTTGGGGTTTTTTGCTAAAATTCAGTGACTTTGGTAAACCAAAAGCAATTCTACAAAAGATGTCCTTGGGAGCACAGAGAAGGGCTGAGGAGTCCCAACCCCCTTAAGAAAAAGCAGGAGGAGAAGTCCAAGTGGTGACACATTGTGGTGACCTGTGTGGGCACTCTGCAAGCTCAGCAGTGTCTTTCTAAGAAACAGAATTGCAACGCACCCTCCTGAAGGAAAAGCTGGTTTAGAATGTCCTCTTCCTGTCCCCAAACCTCAGGTACAAACATGGTACAACTGTCCCAGTGCTGGTGTCACCTGAGGACAAGGTTTTCACTCTGGAAATGGGTGAGATGGGAAGGTAAAGCCATCTCCATCTTCCCAGTGCCAGGAGACCCAGCCTTGAGGATGGACAGCTCATCCTTTGGGGTCTGACCCACAACCAGGACCCCCAGGCACAGCTTACACTGTCAGGATATTCCTAGAGCACCCTTGGCTTTCAGTCCTGGACACCCTGTGGGCACCCTGGAGAACAACACTGGGCAGTTGTCCTGTGTGGGAAATGGACTTGTAGAGAGTTTTTTGGGTTTCCTTCTATCAAACCCTTAAGGGTTGTTGTTTGAGGAGTTATTTCACTCCAACCTGCAGCTCCACCTTTCCCTACTCATTAAATTAAGGCTCTAGCGAGCTGCAGGGGAGTGATGGCACAAAAGACAAAGAAGAAGAAGAAGACGAAGAAGAATAAAAAGAAGAAGAAAAAGAAGAAGAAGATGAAGAAGAAAAAGAAGAAGAAGAAGACGAAGAAGAAGAAGAAGGAGAAGGAGGAGGAGGAGAAGGAGGTTTTATCAAACCCTAAGGGATCTTAATTCAATGGGTAGGGAAAGGTGAAGCTGCAGGTTGGAGTGAAATAATCCCAAAAAAACCAACAAAACCCTAAGGGTTTGATGGAAAGGTTTCTTTTAGGGTTTCTTTCTATCAAACCCTAAGAACTCTCTCCAAATCCATTTCCCACACTCCTGCAGCCCATTCAGCTGTTTTCAAGCCCTGAAATAGGAACTATTCTGCTCCAGCTTTTTTACTCACCCTGTTTAAACCCCAATCCCCTCAGAGCAGAGATTTCCCGTCCCACCCACCCTGTGCCACCCTGACCCACGCTCCTCTCCCTCTCTCTCCCCGCTGCAGTGAAGAGGCAGGACCTGGCCAGCGCCGTGGGGAGCCACATGCCCATCCTGCAGTGGGAGGACAAGCGAGGCCTGGCCTTCACCAAGAACAACCTGAGCTACTCCAGCAACGCCCTGGTGATCCCCGTGTCCGGAGATTACTACGTCTACGCCCAGGTCACCTTCCGAGGGCCCGTGGAGAGCAGCCACAAGGCCAGCTCTGTCACTGAGATCATCACCAAGGTCACTGACAGCTACCCCGAGCCCACCCAGCTGCTGACGGGCACCAAGACCCTCAGTGAGAACGGCAATGGTTGGTTCCAGCCCATCTACCTGGGCGCTGTGGTCTCCTTGGAGGTGGGAGACAAGCTGATGGTCAACGTGAGTGACATCAAGCTGGTGGATTACACCAAGGAGCACAAAACTTTCTTTGGGGCCTTTCTGCTGTAGGGCTCCGGCCTGCAGCAGGTGGTGGGGGATCCCTCCAGGGTCATCGGGGGGATTTTGAAGGGTTTTGGCTTTGTGGGAGCATGTTGGGGTGAGATCTCTGTTGTTTGCCTTCTTCTTTTTCTTCTTCCTCTTCTTCTTCTTCCTCTTCTTCTTCTTCTTCTTCTGTGCCATCACTCCCCTGCAGCTCGCTAGAGCCCTAATTTAATGAGTAGGGAAAGGTGGAGCTGCAGGTTGGAGTGAAATAACCCCCCAAAAAACACAACAAAAAGCAACCAAAAACTAACTAAAAAAAGACCAAAAAACCAAAAAGAAACTCCAAAAAAAAACAAAAACAAAAACAAAAAAAACCAAAGCAAGCAAAAAAACAACAAAAACATAAACAACACTCAAAAAACCTCAAAACAAACAAACAAAGAAAAGCCAAATTAGAAAAATGGAGGGAGGAAAATGTATTTTTGAAAGCAAAAGCTGAAAGTTCTTCAAAAGTCTGTAAGCTAAGGAGGAACATTTGATACCTGTGGGTAGGAAGTTTCTTCTTGAATATTGAGCTAGACTATTCCCCTAATTCCACCTTCAATGTACAATTTCCTCAACTCCAGAAAATACAAGGGTTTTTGAGCTTTCTCCAATACTTCCAGTATAGTTTTGCATGACCCTTCTTCAGATTCTCCTTTCTAAAAAGTAATTACTTCTCATAATTTCCTTATGAATACATTTACTCAGTACTTTGCACTAACATAAAGCTCAGGTTAATTATTAACTGCTTAATTAATCCCTTCCAACTTCCCTGTAAAGTAGATTAAAATTATATCATGTGCTTTGCAGCAGCTACTTGAGATTTTTGGTTTTTCCAAAAAATTAATTACAGTTCTCTAAGTCCCTATACAGCCTCTGATCTAGGGAACACACAAAACACTTTCTGTTTCAGCATGAAAGTGGAATGTCCCCTCCAGGTCCTAACTTTAGGATAACAGAAAAAAAAAAAAGAAAAAAGAAAAAAGAAAAAGAAAAAGAAAAAAAAACCCCAAGGTAGAGAGAGACACAGAACAAAATTTTGCACACTTTTAAATCAGCGACCAAAATTTTGGGAGAAAATTTCTGCAATGTTTCGCTTTCCATTATATTTAATGCAAGGCAAATGCAACTGAAGAAATCACTGCTTGGGTTCCAACCACAGCTGATCGTGGCCCCAAGGGACTCCCCAGCCTTGCCCTGGGTGAAGGTTGGCCACCAGTTGTCCCCACATGAGGTGAAAAGACCCAAAAACACGACCCTGGTGGAGCTCAGGGCTGTTTAACTTCCACCTGCACTTACTCATTTCCACAGACCTTTCTGCCTCTCAGGGAAATTCCCATTTTCCCCTCTCCTCCTGCAGCAAACGCATCTCCAGCAGTGCCTCAGGACCCTCATGGGTTTGGATTTACACCCTGAGCAGCCCCGAGGTCTCACAGCCAAGCACCCACCAGGCTCTGCAGCTCTCCCCTGCCTCGCCTCCTTGGATTTCCTCCATTTCTCCACTTCTTGCCCAGAAATGACAGCAAGGCTTCGGCCCTGAGCTGATGTTTCCACCCAAAGCCCTGGTGGAGCCCCAGGTGCCCCCATCAGGGGTGAGGAACTGCAGTGGTGGGGATGAGGGGCTGTGTCTGCAGAGACGAACTGGGCACAGGCTTTGTGCTGCGGACAAGCCATGTGAGACCCTGCAGATTTGTCCATGGCAAAGCCCTTCCCACCAGGAGACCTTTTATTGCTCTAGGAAGATCTCTTGAGCTGTCAGTGGAGCAGCTGGCGCAGGGACAGAGGCCAAGGAGATTGGGAAGGGAAGAAAGGAGAAGAGCGGGAGGAGGAAAGGTCCAGGCAACACCAGGATCTCTTCATGTCTTGGTGTGAGGACCTTCCTGCTGACATGAAAACTGGCAGGTCTTTTGTGGTAAATCATCTCAAAGTGGAGGGTTTTTGCCCATTCTTCCCTATCCTGCAGTTCCTGGACCCCACAGTTTCAGTCCTTCCCTGTTTCAGGCACATCACAACATCCAGGACTTTGCCACCCTGCCCTGCCCTCTTTTCCTGCTTCCAGATTTTCCTTGAGTCTCATCACTGAGTGTTGGCCCCTGGCACAACTTTGCCAATTTGGGGAGCTTGACAAATTCCCTGCATCAAAACCTCATCCCAGTTTGGCTCCCCATCCTTTCTTTGACTCATCCTTCACCTGCCCCACATCCACATCTCAGCTGTCCCTTGCTCCCTCCTGCCTTCCTGGCCCTGTCCATTAGGTGCGAGGACATTCTTTGTCCAACTGCCATTTTTACACTCAATTTCTCCAGCCCACAAAGAAAAGTGACATCTCAAAATAGGTTTGGATTGGAGAAAGTAAATTTAATTATCCTGCAGGCAGATGGAAACACTTGGAGTCAAGGGATCCTCTTAGGTCTTTATGATCCAGATCACTTCCATGTTTGAGCCCTTATTCCTATTTTATCTCCACCTGCCCAGCCTAGTTTTTTTAGCTATGTTTGGAGCAGTTATTCCCCAATTATCTCATTAACACAACCTCAGCCTTGTTCTGGTGATCCAGCTCCTTTTCAGGGCTCTCCTTCCTGCTCAGAGACCCTCTCCACCCAACCAAGGTAAAATCTGGTGAAATCCCCCACTCTTGGCAGTTCTAGACAAAATTACTCCCAGTGAGACCCTGAGACTTCCCATAACTCAAATTTTGTGGAGTGTTCCCCCAACACCTCACACTGAGTCTTTGATCACTTGGTTGTGTGCCCAAAGCAGGATCTGAACTCATGAAAACACAAAATCTGCAGCTTTTGGAACATGTAGAGCACTTTAGGTGACCAGCACACAAACCAACATGGTCAGTCTCATAAAGGAAGATTTGAAATCATTTTTCCAAGACAGCTGATTCCCAGCAATTAGACAGGAGCTTCTGCAAAGGGCAAAATAGTGTGAAATTGGTTTATCCTTGGAGGAAATTGGAAGGGAAATTCTCTCTCTTCTGGGATAACTACAGTAATTCAGAAAGCTTCTCTCTTCTACCAATGAGCTGGTCATTCTGAGGGCACAAGGCAATCCTGACAGGCTGGGACAGCAGATTCTCAGGGAAGCTGTATCCCAAGGCACCATCACTGAATCCTGGTGTGCTGAACGATGGGAATTGTGAGGGCTGGGGCATAGGAGTGAGGAATGCAACACCTGGCACTCAAAGAGCCAGAATGTGGGATATAAACACAACTTTTCCTCTTTTTTTTTTGGTGGATATTTCATAGAAGTCCCCAGAAGTTCCTTTGGCAATAATGAGCCTTTTCTAGCATGGAATTTGTCTCCACTGCACACTAAAGATGAATTTCAGCAGCAAAATGTTGCCTGCTGCAGCTCCATTCCAGGTGTGATTCTCCATAATCCATAGAAATATTTATTTTAGTCCAGTTAGAGCTTTTGCACCCCATGACCCACACCAGCTTGGAGCACATTTAGCACACATTTTATAGGACATAAAACAATATATGTGGCATTACTTGTTTTAAAGTGGTGCAGGTATATTGATCCCCACATGCATCCTCATGGAAATTCTCTATATTCCCTTTTTTCCCCGCTTTTCAGTGCTAATAATGTTACTGTACCAGTGACCAGCACATAAAATAAGTGTTCAGGGGCTGATTTTGGCCCTATTTTATATTAGATATTACTCCACAGAAGTCAAAGGCATGAAGGCAGAATAAAGCCACTTTAGTGAGACCAAAGTCAAGCTTAGAGGGAAATCTCTCCAAGAGACTGAACCTAAACTGTGGATTTTCAGATTATTTTTTTTTTTAAGTTAAAAAAGGACACAAGCATTCTCAGAAACTTGTGTTTGTTGAGCTAGAAAATACAAAGTGTTTCTGGAGATGTGAAAATGCCCAGGCATCAGCATTTTCAATTAAATGAGAAGCTGGTGAGATCTGGTCATGGGAAGTAGTGACCTTAAAGTCTGTGGTCAAGCTGAACATGTGCTTTGTTTTGGGAGGGGCTGTGAAACTAAAACTATTATTAGGAAAAAAAAAATGGAATCTGGAGAAAAAAATGTGAAATAGGCAGCTTGAGCTAAATGAGGTTAAACATATGATTTTAGGTTTTGACCCTTCCATTTCTTAGGAAAAAGAACCCAAAAGCACTTTTCAGAACAAAACCACTGAAAGAAGAAGTATCAAATTATTATTTAACAACTGCTCAAAATATTCTAGATCTTAGGAGTTGGCTTCTTCCCTAATCCTTTTCATCCCCCAAAAAAGTAACACTAAGCACAACCTAAATTCATCAGAGTTCCTACCACTTCCTTTCCCCTTAAAAACTGAATATTGATAAATAAGCATTAACTTTCTCTCCATGCACAGGCATAAATAAATTTAGTAAATTTTAATCAAGGTGTAAAGAAAGCAGCTCCAATCCTGCCAACATTTATTTGTGCTAAGCACAGCCCTGAGCACGTGGCTGAAGGGGATCATGGTTAAAACCAGCTCCTGTTTGGAGGATGGGAGGAGTAAAACCTGCATGCCTCAAATTAAAAGTTTTAATTGTGTTTATCCTCAGCTCCATCATGGTTTGGAGCAATCTTCCAAATCAAGGAGTGACTGCAGGGACTGTCCAGCACAGGGGTGTTTGCAGGATCAGAGTCCAAAGGATGGACCCAAAAAGATGCTGCTGAGATGATTTTTTGGCAGGGGATGTGATGAGCAAACCTCTCTACAAAGGAGGTCCCCAACCAAGCCAAACAGATTTAGGAATTCGCTTGAAAATTTCAACACAATATTCCAGAATTTTGAAGGAATCTTGGTTTTTCACCCCTCTATGGCACAACTGACCACCCTGTCCTTTGTTTTATTTGTCTTGTGAGTGGGCCATCATTTCAGATGAGAAATGAGGAGAGAATTCATTCTTTAGAAGAATCAGAAAATGTCAAGGATCTTTGCCCCGATGTGGGTGCTACACACCAGTAATAGCATTTTGCTATTGTAAGGGATTTTCTAGAAGGGATTGTCTTTTGTCTTGTCCCTCAGCACTGAGATGTATCTTTACCATAAGAACTGACTTAACTTCTTTATATTTTCCCAAGTTTTATGATAATAAAAATGCAACTTAACAAATGCGACCACTTTTGATCCCA